GGTCTTTTAAGTATATACCCTATCCATTTCCTTATTTGGTGAACGATAGGTTCTTGGTTAGTCTGTTCTTTCTCACCAGCCAGCCATCTGATCTTCAATATGGAAGCAGTGAAAAGGGTAGCCGTTGATAAAAGTTTGCAGAGTGACCTGTTGGAAATCCGCTTCACGATTCACACACAGTGCAAGCTTCCAACCCATATAGAGGAACTGACTGATTGACTGACTTCACATTTGTGTTGAAAATCCGCATCTTGTTGTTTATTCTGAGGCGGAGTTCAGAAGATTTTCAAGATGATTTCAAACTGATTAAGGTGTGCCCTACTTCTTCAATACTGGCTAGCTTTCACATCTTCATCGATTCCACCTTCCTGTAGTTGAAAAGATTCTCTGTAGTCAGATAAGTGCAGGAAGTAATCTCTTCCAAATTTCTCCCGATGATGGGGATTGGTGCTTGTTGGTGTGTTGTTGACGGTGGTGGAGGTTGCTTATCTTCATCACCTCTGTTTTCTCTATGTTCACTTGAAATCCTGTGTTTATTTGCTGCCTCTCCTGCCAGTTTGTTTTGGTTTTCGCTTGTAGGTTTCCAAGTTTGGGTGACATTATACATAAGTCATCTGCGAAATTCCGATCTCCTAGAGTCTTCTTATCGGTCCTCTGTGTTTGTCTCTTCTCGCTGTCAACCACAGTCTGATGCATTAGAAATATCATCGGTGATAACAGGCAGCCTTCTTTTACTCTCTCTCCTCATTCACTTCAAAGGCAGACTTTACTAAGTTTTCCGTTGCTTTCAGCTCAATGAGCAAGTTTTCAGTTTTAGGAACTATAAGCTTCTTGAGTTGTTATGTGAACCTATAAGCTATCACAGTTTATTAGATTTTTACTCTTTTTTCTCTCTTGTCCTCCCCACCCTTCCTTTTTATCTTGAAAGCACATAAAGTCATGGTAACTAATACAAACAGTCAATTTTACCTTTAGGCATAAATCTGACCTAAATAAACTAGTTGGCTCTCACGAGGTATGCAACATAGACGGCACTGAAATAGAAACCAAATCGGAAATTAAATACCTAGGCGTCATTCTCTCTGCTGATCCCTCCTGGTCGTCTCATATCTTAGCGATTTCTAAGAAAATATTCCGTCTTACCTTCTACATTAAGAAGTTAAAACATTCTGCTATAACCCAACCCTTACTCCTACAATTCGTTAACCCTCGCATTCTGCCTATTATTCTCTATTGTTCCCCCTTAGTTTTTCCCGGGCTACTGAAGAATGACTATAACATATTACGAAGGATGTTAAAGGTTGTCAGCAGGGTAAGCAACGTGCCACTTAACCAGCTTGTTAATATTCTGGTTGACAGGCACATGGACTCATGTGAAAAATGGGCCAAATCCATTTTATCTAACTCACACCACCCTCTTCACTCACAACTCTCCCCTCACATCTCATCAGGTAAAACCAGAAGCCTATATAGAAAACTATATGCTCGTACCAGCAAGTACAAAAACTCAACCATACCCTACTTAGCTCGTGTTCTGTGCGATAAAGAAAGAAAGGATTAGGCGTGACACCTATAATTCATTAAATAGTCAGTAGTAAAACTGGATCTCGTCTTTCCAACTCATATCATTTATAGGTACAACATTTTCTTTCTTTCTTTTCCATATCCCTCTCTTTTTTCTGTTATGTGCTGCCTTGTTTCTGTCTCTCGCTTACGCCATTAAATATGACAGCTCCTACTTTTCTAACACCTTCAAACACTGTTCAGCTTTACCTTTGCTACTGACATGCCAATGTGTTGTTGTCATAATGAACTGAGATCTCCTTAATCTATGTAGAATTCTATTTATTGATAATGTACTAACTGGATGCAATACTGTAGTAAAAATGCTGAGAATTCCATTCTGTATCACATGTACTGTTTTGGAATAAAGCAAATCATTATTATTATCATTAATGTTTATTGTATCTGATGTGTTAATTTTATAATGATTTCTCTACTACTGCTATCATTCAAACATTGAAGGATGTTATTGTCATTATTCATGTTTGTCTGAATTGAGATAATAACATTTTGAAAAAGTTTTTCTCATTGCAGTATTCAATTTTATCAAGGTAACTAACAGTACGACATTAATAATTGCTCTGTTTTATCGTAATGTGATAATTCTATATAATTTGAAGCAAAATCTTTACAAAAGTAATCCTGTATGTGTTGTACACAATATAAAATACTGATAAAGTTTCATGGATTTACGGGAATAAAGTTATTTATTTCTAAACAGTTCAGCTAAATGCGTATATATTATTGTTTCCTTTAGTTCCTAGAGGAACATAGGGCTTCAGCCGCACGTCTCCAGTGCATTCGGTTCTCCGACAACGTTTTCACCTGGCTCCACGTCTGTCCACATGCTTTCATCTCCTCTTCACATGACGTCTTCCATGTCACCCTCTCAATGACGACCAACTTGACACTTCCCATTCGGGTTCCACTCGAGCGATGGCCTGGCATGTGATGTCACTTCATGGCGGTTTGTTCTCTCACAGTATGGACTTCAATCCACCTCCATTTCCTCCTGCAGATTTGTTGCACATTCGGTTCCTGCTGGGTTGGTTCGTTCATTGACAGAGATCTCCGTTGCTGATCAACTCTGGCCGGCCATCTGATCTTGTGTGGCGTTGAGAAAAGACAGCTGTGTGTGCAGGTGTGTAGTTTGTTCGAAGTGACGTGGCGCCAAGTCTATGATCCATATGGTATCACTGAATTCCCATTAGAGTTGAAAATCCACATCTTATTTTTCATGGTGAGTGCTGTTGATCTCCACACAGTCTAGAGAGTAATAAAGGTTTGCCTTGCTTTCCCGGTCCTTGTTTCGATATCCTCATCAGTTTCGTCCGCCTGTAGTCAAAATGATGCTTCACAGGTAGATGGGTAGCTGAAGGAGGTTGTTTCTTTCAGGTTCCTCCCGTTTATGCTGATTGTTGTCTGTTGTTGTTGTTGCTGTTGGTGTTGCCCAGGAATCTTCATGACCTACCTCTATTTTCTCTATGTTCACCTGAAGGCCTGTCTTCTCTGGATGCTTCTTCTGCCAACTTGTTGCTTTTCACTTGCATATCTTCCAGTTTGTGAGAAATGAGACAGATATCATCGGTGAAGTCCAGATCCTCCAAGTATTTTGTGTGGGTTCATTTTATGCCTGTCTCCTCGTTGCTCCGCCCGCTGTCTGTCGCATTATCCATTCTACCCCCTGCAATCAGGAAAATCATTGGAGATAGTAGGCAGTCAGCCTTTTCTTATTTCCATCTTCACCTAGAAGGATTCCATGAGTTTCTCGTTGTCACTTTCTTGGCATGCAGCGTTGTCGTACAACTGTTGGATGAGATGTATAATTGTCGGTGGCACCCCGTAGTAGCGAAGCAGTTGCTAAATCACCTCTCTATCGACGCTATCGAAGGCCTTTTCAAAGTCAATGAAGTTGAGAGTTGGCTGCCATATGTAATCCCTGTCAAATCTCATGAAAATGAGACAGTGTCAGTGATCAAATAGCTCATTTCTTTGGCTGTACAAGGTTAACACTATGGCGAATAGTCTAAGGGGAAAATAACCAAAAGCGTATTCTGCATACCATATCAGACTATCAAAAAATCGATCATAGCAAGCAATTTAACCATTTGCAGGCTTTTATCCAATTTTGTTTAACTACAAATATTTTAGAAGACGATAGTCAAAGATTGTTAATCACATTGCGTTAAGTGATTCAGTAGAAAAGTAGGTGAAGTTAAACTTTAAGCACTAGTGAGTACCAAAGGAGTGGAGTGAGACAGCACCAGTCACCTTGAAACACTCAGTGAGCAAGTTAGTGAAACCTGGTAAATAATGTTATAATCATGAATAAAAAGCGCTTAGTGAAGTATTGTATTATCACATGGGATATCTGGCTAATTTCGGGGTTGTGTTTGGGAAAGACTAAGTTAAGGCTTAGTTAGGCTAACGATAGGTTAGGATTAGGTTAACCTAGTAAGGTCGATATTACGGTTGGCTAGAGTTAAATTAGGTTTAATTTAAGGATATTTTCACTTTAGGGTTAGGTTCAAGAAAGATTAGGGTTATTGTTGGGGCTAGAAGACCGAAATAATCACATGCATAGAATATGGTTAAATTAATCTGTTGTTACTGCAATCGAAAAACTGAGAAATATTTGTATCACACGTCACAGAAACATATCCTGTGTAACATTTTCATGCCTTTTAATTCATTATTTCCATGATTATATATGTATTTTATACGCAAAAATCACCTTTGTCGTGTGATTAGTACGTTCACCGTCATTTGTCAGTAGTTGATACTTACAGGTGCTTAAAGCTTAACTTTACCGAAAAGTACTGACTATAGATAATCAATGAATTTTCATGTATTGGTTTTGTAGGGATTTTTTTTTATTGGTTGGAGGATTTCATCATGAGTTGACACAAGAGACAGTTGTATTGTCCTAGTTTGGGACTCTTCATCAGTACGCACCCACCTCACTGTTAGGGTTCGAACCCAAGACCTTCTGGTTACAAGACAAGCTCGAAGAAGACATTGCGAATTGGTCATACTATATCATGAATTGGCAGAAGTTAGAATTTTATGGGCCATTGGATCAGGTCCCAGTAGCTTAATAGTCTGCGAGCGCTCCCTGTAACCAGAAAGTTCTGGGTTCTAGCCCCTTCGATGGATGCTTACTGATGAAGAGTCTCAAACTAGGACGAAACAACTGTCCAGTACTTCCAGGTTTTCCAATGGTTATATAACTGATATCACCTCATAAATGAATTTTGTTTAGACAGTGTTTATCAACAGTACTAAGTAACAGTAATATTTATTTTTAGTTTAGTTAAATAATAATAATAAGTAATAGAAAAAAACCAAACCTAGAAGGTATATTGTTTGTTACACATTTTAATGATCACATTCTGATCAATTTTATCATTTTTATCTTGGAATTATTTTTATTCAAGGCTGTGATGAAGTGTATGGCACAGTGAATTTAGTTGACGCATCTGACATTGTCATTCCCATTGGATCAAAGGATCAATTTCAGTGTGGATTATTACCTGAAGTGATTGAATCACAATTGAACGGTTATTGGACTGGTCAACTCACACAAGGAAAGAATCATGAGCTTGTGTCTATGATTCACAAAAATGGAAAGGTTTATATTAAGAAACCTTCAGATGCTGATATATTCGATATGAGTGGAATAGTGAAGTTAAAGTGCACTTTTAAAAGACAAGGTGACAATGTCAAACTATACGAATTTGAGAGAATCATAAAAATCACCCGTGAGTGTATAAATGTTTAAACTGTTAAATTGTATTAGTATAATAATTGGTTGAGAAAAATACTGCCACCATCACCACTATCACGACTTAATTTATTTAGTTATAACTCCATTATGGATAAGATTTTATTTTCATAAATCACACAGTGTTACACAGTAATATTAACTGACGACGTTTCGAGCACAAATTACTGCTCATAATCACAAACGCACTGAGAGATCTTCTAAAGAAGAAATTGATTGACAACAATACGTACAATGATTTGAAACCCCGAGGGTCCCGCTTGCCGCACATGTATGGCCTTCCGAAGATACACAAAAAGCAAGTTCCCCTGAGACCTATACTTTCGATGATCAACTCGCCTCAACATAAGGTGGCACGTTGGCTTGCGGAGAAGTTGGAACCTATTCGTCAACGGCTAGGCGTGCACACAATGAAAGACTCATTTCATTTCTCTGAAAGTGTGAGCCACATGAACGTTTAAGATAAGTTCATGGTGTCATTTGATGTAACCTGCCTGTTCACAATGATTTCAATCAACGAAACTATTGAGATCATTTGTCAGCAGTCTGATCTTCTCCCACTCCCAGAGTCGGAATTCAAACGCCTACTCGTTATGTGTACCATGGATGTGCAATTCCAATTTGACAACACTCTTTACCGCCAAATAGATGGTGTAGCTATGGGCAGTCCACTTAGCCCTGTTTTAGCAGATATATTCATGTCCAACCTTGAAAAAACAAAGTTGAAGCATGCAATCGATGAAACAACTTCCTACTGTCGTTACGTTGATGACACATTTACAGTGTGCAAAAATGATAGTCATGCTTCACACTTACTAAGATTATTCAGTGATGCACACGCCAATATCAAGTTCACTATGGAACATGAAAGTGACGGGAAGTTCCACTTCCTCGACATCGCCATGGAACGCCTAGAAGATGGTAGTCTTCAAAAGTCAATTTATCGTAAGTCCACATGGAAAGGACAATACTTGCATTTTAATAGATTTTGTCCAAATAGCTATAAACAAGCACTGGTCAAGACTCTGTACTATAGCGCGAGAATAATATGCCCTACAGAGAAACTAGAGGAAGGATTTGAGTTTCTTGAAAACACATTGAAGATCAATGGGTACCCTCAAACGTTCATCAACAAGTATGGAAGATCTGAAGTCGCAAATGAAAAACAAATCACAGTAAGAAAAAAGCCAATCTACTTTGAGCTTGATTATAAAGGTGAAAACATTGCAGCGATGATCAACAGAAGGCTGAGCACATCACTAGCCATAGCCTATCCTGCAGCTAAGCTCTTTCCCGTCTTTCGAACAACTTGCTCTCTGGTGCAATCAAAAATCGACAGATATCCTTCACATGTTAACTCCAACTGTGTTCGAAACGTCATCAGTTAATATTACTGTGTAACACTGTGTGATTTATGAAAATAAAATCTTATCCATAATGGAGTTACACTCTACCACAGTGCCCAAGTTTTATACTTATATCAGTTATTTAGTTATAGTCTGAATGCAAGAAACAAATCTCTACATTCTACTGTACAGCTTTGTTGAAACAGGCATTATCATGAAACATTCCAAAAGCAAAGGATCTACCATTCAACATCAAGAATTTTCTAGTACTCCTGTACTGAAGTAACACAAACTTCAGCATTTTATCTTTCCGCTTTTAATTCCAGTTGAATATTCAGAGATTCACAACACTTGCAACTGAAATCCAGCATAGTTGAATGTTTCTGATTCGTTTGAATTCGTCGACTCAATAAATGATGCTAATGTATCTGGGAAGAAAATGATATCAATGGATGTCACTTCGCTTTTCACCAACGTTCCCCTCACTGAAACTATCTGCTTTATATGCAAATTCATTGAGGATAATAACGTCGACGTATGTGTTCCGATCCACTACTTAAAGGAACTACTACTGAGGTGCACTCTAAATGTTCAGTTCAAGTTCAACAATACGATTTATAGACAAAGAGATGGAGTGGCAATGGGGTCACCTTTGGGTCCTTTACTTGCAGACTGCTTCTTGGCCAGTTTGGAGAATAATATTTTACGGCCTACTATCGACAGCTTCCATCTGTACCAAAGATACATGGATGATACTTTCATCATATGTGACGACAATACCGACGTCGAATTGATAACCAAAGAGTTCAACAGATGCCATCATGCCATCAAGTTCACGTCGGAATCAGAGAATAACTCGGAATTCCATTTTCTGGATGTTTTTCTAAAGAGGAGATCGGATGGTTCTCTTCAAAGATCGATATACAGGAAACCAACATGGAATGGTCAGTACACAAATTTCCATAGCTGGGTCCCTTTGAGAAGGAAGAGAAATCTGATCCATTCCTTATCCTCAAGAATAAGGAGGATATGTTCAAGTGATACAATCGTTGGGGAACTGGAGCGACTCAGACAAGTCCTCATAGAGAATGGATATCCTCCAAGATTTATCGAGAAAAACATGAAGCCAAGGGAAAAACCTGAAAGAATACAGACGGTGCCGAAGAAACTACTGTTTATGAGTGTTGAATTTAAAGGTGATACCGCAGCTGAGATCCTGAAGAATCGCTTATGCAGATCACTGAGGAGAGCCTTCTTTATGGCTGAGCTACGTATCAACTTCTACAGCCGACAAATGATCAACGGGTGTGTGAAGGATAAACTGCCGCCTTGGGCCACCTCAATGTGTGTTTATAAATTCACTTGCTCGTGTGGAGCTAGTTATATTGGCCGCACAAAGCGCACGCTTTCCAAACGCATCTCTGAGCATTATCCGGCATGGTTAGCAAAGGGGCAATGCAAGACAATCAATAGCTCAATTCTCGAGCATTTGGTGAACTCAGGCCACGTAGCTCCACCAGAATCGTCTTTCAAGTTTATCTACAAAGTGAAGCCAAATGGTACAAAGGGCGTCAGGTTTCGGCTTTTGTGTATGGCGGAGGCTCTAGCAATTCATCAACACAACCCTGAACTCTGTATACAGAAAAAGTTTGTCCAATCTCTTATTCTACCTTGGTCTTAACCTCTTCACTAATCGTTCCTTGTAAATAAAATACATTTTTTGATTTTTTCTTTTCATTCTACTTTCACTTTTA